ATAAAAAAGGAATTGATACAGCACCTCTGTACTTAACGTAAAAAAGGAATTGATACAGCACCTCTGTACATAAAAAAGGAATTGATACAGCACCTCTGTACTTAGCATCTGGAACAAAGCCTTGTTTTCTTGAAGAAATCAAATATGTCCTTAATTATTTCAACCCAACTTTCCCTTTTCCTACCCAAAAGGCACCCAATTGTGAATCTGGTGTGCCTCCTGCCGGATACCTCTTTGCACGTGGGCATGTACCTGCCATGTGTAACCGGAGCTTGACTCCACTGCCCTGCTGGCTCCGTACCCTCAGCCTGCGCAGAGAAGGGGCACTGTGGTCAGGCTGCTCTGCACAGCTGTGGCAACCGTCACACGGTAGCCTAGGGACACAGTCTCTCCTTGTGTTTTCACGGGCACTTGACATCAGATTTATCCCACTGCACGTTTACTGTACATGTAAATTACTAGAATTCTACATCAGCTTAGAAGGAAGGATCTCAGAAAGTTGAGCATTTTCATTACCTAAAAGTTTCATTGTTTGAAAAAGAAAAGAGCAATTGCTGTTTAAATGGCTGGGCTAGCACAGTAGCTGGCATATAGTAAGTTCTGAAAATGTTTTATGAACTGATTAGAATATGTCCACACAAATAATACGGGTATACATGTGACACGTAAGTAATCTTAGGCACTCTCTGGTTAAGAAAAGGCTGAAGGTAGCAGACTGTCGCTTAAAAGTCTTTCAGCCAAACACCCAGGAGTGGGACAGCTGGGCCGGATGGTAGGGGCCTGGTTTGGGGGCCGGGTAGGAGGAGGGTGTTTTTTGTTTTTTTTTCAGTTGGAAGCTCCAAACTGATTTCCATAGTTTCCTGACTTATTTCCATCCCTACCTGTCCTGGGTAAGGGTTTCCTTCGGTCTACATACTCAGTTTTGCTCTTATTTGCCATTTTATTAACTGCCATACTGACTAAAGTAAAACTGGATCTCAGTGTATGGGATTTTTTGGTTTTTTGAGACAGGGCCTTCCTATGTAGCCCTGGCTGTCCTACAATTCACAGAGATCAGCTGGCCTGTGCCTCCCTAGTACTGGGATTAAAAGTGTGAGCCACCACACCTAGCATTAAAACTACAACTAGTGAGGCTCAACATTTTATATGTGACATCTGTACATCATCTTTTGAAAACTATTCATTCATTAGCCTATTTACTGACTGAGTGGTTTAATCTCTTGTTAAGACTGCAAATTAACTGGGGGTGGACAGATGGCTCAGCAGTTAAGGGCACTTGCTACTCTTCCAGAGGACCTGAGTTCAGTTCCCAGCACCCAGACTGGGTGACTCACAATCACCTGTAACTCCAGGTACCAGAGACCTACCACCCTCTTCTGGCCTCCACCCCCCCAGGTGGCATTCACCACATGTGACATTAACTCACGCAGCTACACACAGACACATAATTTTTCTAATGATTGCAAATTTAAAAATACCCATTTCTTTCTCGTGTATTTATAGGAAAAACAGTGGTTACCGGAAACGAGCTTCCCAAAGTAATACGTATATAAAGGAAGCTGGGTGGTACGAACACTGCTATGAATTTGGACCAATAAAACTAAACATGTGCAAGTGTCTAAGTTAGAATATTAATTTCATGCAAATGCAAACACAGGACAGGTGTGGACCACAGACACTTTTCTGGGCACAGACTCCGAACCAACCTTGCTTGGCTGTTTTGGCTTTGGTTTAATACTGATGAAAACATCAAGCTGCTCCATCAACTGAGCGATGAACTGCGGGTCAACTTCAATTTCTTCCTTCATATCAAACATCAGCACAAGGGGAAGACAACCCTAGAAAAGAGCACAGTCACTCAGGAGTCGACCATTTTAACACTGGACAGTGACACGTCTACAAAGTAAATTCTTCCTTCCACAGCAAGGAAGGCTGCTGCGGGGTGAGGCTGAGGGGCAGGAAGCTGTGTTTGGGTGAGCAAAACCGTATACTGTCAATTTCTTGGTTCAGCTCTGAACCTTTTACGAATCCATTCTGGAAAAGCCCTGAACAGCTGGACTTCAGCTCTGTCAGGATGGCAGGCAGGGCCTCTTCATGGTCTCTAGCTACGGCTCAATGACCTACAGAGGAGCCCTTCCTGTCCACCAAATGAAAACCCAAATGATGTTTAAGGACGTCTGGCCTGGCCTGGCCCACCGGTTCTGCATGTCCTGGGTCTGCCTCTTCCTCCATGCCAGGGCCACCCTCTCGGTGTACTTGAAGTGGAGTCCGTGCAGGCTGTGGTAGCTCAGAGGCTTCTTATCCAACCCTCTGCGGCAGCTCAAGCTGTAAGCGCTTCGTTCCTGGACGGAGCTGTTAACCACGTCTGATTCCTTAGCACTGCAGAGTTTAGGTTTAATTTTCTTCTCTGCTCATTTCTGCCTGGTCCTTAATCTATTACAGACAGGAATCATGTAACTTTTCTTCCTGATGCACAGGATGCTACTCAGCATAAGCCCCTAGTTGCTGCATTTGATGCATGTGCATCAGGACAAGATAATGATGGACATTCTGAGATTAAAAGAGAATACCATGTGCATTTCACTTACAAATAAAAGTGATTTTTTCCTATGGGTAGTACTATATAAAAATGTGGTTAAAATGTAGGTACAACCTTTTCATTTCTCTCTCTTTACCATATTGCACAGTAATATTTCTCAAAATGAATCTATATTTGGGCAGGTATGGTCAACGTAGGAAAGTGAACCTGTGAACTTTTTCAAACATTTTGAGCTTTTAACTTCAAAAACATGCAAAATTGGTGGGCCAGACCAGGCCAGAGCAGACGAGGCCAGGGCAAGCCAAGCTAGGCCAGACATCCTTAAACACCAGTTGAGTTTTCATAATCTCCAAAGAACATGAAAAATAAGAAAATATGAAGAGTAACCGTAACTGCTCTTTATGTGAATACGTTGCCCACTGGTAATACATTAACAATCAAAAACAAACAGTGAGAGAGACAACATTCAGAAAAAGTGAATTTTTAGAACTCATATTGCCTGCCCTTAATGACCACAAGACGTTTTATCTGTCAGAGGAATGGAATCAATGGTTTAGATTTTCTGACAGTTCTTCAAAACTGAATTCTATAAGTATTAGCAAAGATCACGTCTGATGCTTATAGATTCAAATGTCACTAAGCAGGAGAATGTATTGTGTTTCAATAAGAGTCTGCAAATCTAGCAATAGAGCTATCTGCTGTTACGACACACCAACCCCCATACTACGGTTTTAAATAAACAGAGAAAGGAGAGAAATACTATAACTTAGAGCACCTTCGAGTTAAGTCACTGATGTTCATCCTTAATGACATTCAAATTCATTAGTTCAACGGTACTTTTGCTATACATAAGTTTATAAAATATGCAAATATTTTGGATCACTAAGAGTTGTGGGTCTTGGTGCATGTGTGGGTCTTGGTGCAAGTATGTGTGAGTCTATGTGCGGATATGTTTGTACGTGCACGTGTGGGGTTAGAAGTTGACATTGGCTTTCTTCCTTTGTCATTCATTCTCCATCTTAATTTTTTATTTTTTGAGAGTTTCATACGTGAACATTGTAGATGCATCATTTCCAAACCTCCTGTTCCCCTGACTCCTCCCACACTCCCTCATCTTTCTCAGTTTGTCCTCTCTTCCATTATTGCTACACATACATACATATATTTGTAAATATCCATGCATACATATATATGTGTGTACATATAAATACACTGAGTCCCTTTAATGGTGCTCATGTGTACATGTGTTTGGGGCCACCCACCTGAAATTAGATAGCTTATCAGGGAGCTTGTCACTGGAGAAAAACTAACTCTTCCTCCCTCAGCATCCAATGATGACCTATAGCTCATCTAGAGGTGGGACCCTCCACCCTATTCTTTAAGACAGGGTCTCTCATTGAACCTGGAGCTAGTCAATTAGGCTAGACCATCTGACAGTGAGCCCCAGGGATACACTTGTCTGTGTCTCTCCAGCCCTATGATCACAGGCACGTGTCTCCACACCTGGCTTTTTATGTGGGTACTGGGGTTCCGAGGTCAGGTCCTCGTGCCTGTGTGGAAACCACTGTACTAACCGAGCCATCTCTCCTTAGTCATAAGAGCTAAGTCTCTGATGATGAAACTTAAACATGTTTACTTTTCTGCTTAAGCAGACTCTTTTTGTACAGTACAAACTACACACTAGCACTCCATGTCAGAACATAGTCACCTTCTATCCATACGAAACCGTCAATTGCTTCATTATAACCTCTTTTGTACTTAGTCTAATTGAGAAAAATACTAGAAGAAAATTGCTTCCCTACACGATGAAATTAAGCTTGCGGAGGCACAATGAACCTTATTCTCCTAATTTATTTTGTTTTTCCAGGAAACCACTTGGGGTCCAGAGTGCTTTCATACATATCAGATTAGTAGAGTCAGCACAAAACCACACTGTACCCCAAGAAGTTCAAGAATCTGAAGGCTACTACTTCCTTCCAACCTTACCATGAGATATTGCCTTGCAAGGCAGACGGACTCTATGGTGCCCTGGAGGTAGACGGTGGATTTCTTCTGTGGATTGCTGGGATCAGGAAAGTGGATCTGCGCCCCAGTCCTCTGCATGATGTGTTTCACGTTGCTCCCATTTCGGCCCATCATGAAGAGGTGATGCTGGGCTGCAATGTCCAGTTGCGTGCTCACGGGGATGGCAGACGCCAGGCTGCCTGCCAAGTGTTCCAACAGCATGGCCGTTCCTTCCTGGCAGAGAAGGGCAGGAAGGACACAATCCCATCAAATGTAACTGTTCGCACACGCTATGAACCCAAAGGTAGCACAGAGGAAAATTCTGGAAACCGATTAGTCTAATATCCATAAATATAAAATTTGTACTGGGTATGGTGGCATGTGTCAATAATCCTAGAACTCGGGCCTCAGGAGGATCATCAATTTGAAGGGGCACTCTCAAGAAATAACTGAAAAAAGAAAACAAAACTTCAAATCTGTGCTTTCACAACTCCGGGAACTTTCCAAGCTGTTTACCTTCACAGCACTCGTATTATTCTGGGAACCTCGTACGATGACAGTCGCCCCGTACATCCGTGAGCGCTGCTTGAAGGACACGGAGACACCGTACGTCTGTGAGATGTGCTGAATGGAAGGGGAGTTGGGGTCGGGGACTGGCTGCAGGATTCCAGCAATTGGTAACTCAAACATCAGCACCAAGGGAAGCAGCTCCTAGAAGAACCCAAATCAGACTGTGAAACCGCAGCCTCTCAGAGGTGGGGTTGCACATCTGCTCATCCTGAACATGGATTTAGGACACAAACTGTCTTTATGCCCAAGCTTAAGTACACTAGACAATGTTTTTCTAACGGAAGGAGACTTCTGCCTGTGGCACTTTTCCTTCAAGTCTACATCTGATCATTTAGAAGTCATTGAAAATTGAGTCAGATGAAATCCAGAACACTTCTAGAAAGTTCTTAATGGAGAAGCATTTATAAATAGCCTAGAATCTTGCTGTTTAAAAATGCTGAGTAAAGGGGGCTAGAGAGATGGCTCAGCGGTTAAGAGCACTGGCTGCTCTTGCAGAGGACCCGGGTTTGATTCCCAGAACACACATGGCAGCTAACAAACAACCACCCGTATTTCCAGTTCCAAGGGAATTTGACACCATCTTCTGACCTCCGTGGGTATTGCACAACATGAGTTGTTACATATATACAGGCAATTTACTCATACACATAAAATAAAAATAATAAAATTTTTTTAAAATGCTGAGTAAAATACCTACAGTAAAACTCAGACTAGATAACAGAAACCAGGGCAGTCATGAAGGTGGTCCTTCCCACATACAGAAAATATGACTAAGTTACGGTATTTCAACAGCTCATTATGTAAGTTCTGCAGGCATGTATTTCCAATATCAAAGTAGGTCATAGTTACCCGAATCCTCACTCGGGCAGACTCTACTCCTGCTGGTTGTCCTGCTATAGATACCTGCAACATAAGAGAGCACAGGCTTATTCTAGTCCTGCCCACACCTGCTTTACTAGGTGTACTACATAACTTGAGTTGTCAACCTGACACACCTGGGTAGGAGGAGCCTCAACTGGGGAACTGCCTCCATTGGACTGAACTGTGGCCATGTCTATGGGGCATTTTCTTGATTGTTGAGTGATGTGGGAGGGCCCAGCCCACCGTGGGTGGTGCCACCCCTGGGCAGGTTGTTTTGTATTATGTAAAAAAGGCCAGGGGACCAAGTCAGTAAGCGGCTTTCCTCCATGGCCTGTGCTCCAGCTCCTGCCTCCAGGTTCCTGCCCTGAGTTCCTACCTTGGGCTCCTTCTGTGATGAACTGTGACCTGGGAGAAGTAAGCCAGATAAACCCTTTCCTCCCCACGTCAGTATTAGTCTGAGTGTTTTGTCACAGCAATTGAAAGCAAACTAGAACACTAGGTATCATCCATGCTGTTCAGCATGTGATCTGGGTGGGTAAAGGCCAGGGCACTGGGGTGCTTGAAAAATAAACCCTAGTCCAACCCAAACCAGCTTAACCAGAATTTGATTTTAACAAGACCCTCCCTCTGGTGATGCCTGGTCACTGATCTCCACTGTCCCTGAGAGTTACCCAGGAGACCCCAGACAGCCAGGCTGCTTTTTCTTTTGTTCAGAGAATTTTCTCCCTGTGACACGAAACTCTTCCATGTCAGACACATATCAGCATACATGATATGGACTATGGATGGATTGGGTCCCTAAACATTGGACTTCTTCCTCACCATCTGGCAAATAATCTCAGGTGGGAAAAAGGAGTTTCCGAACACTGCTCTCAGAGCCAATGGCCATGCCACAGCAGCCGAGATACTTTGAACAAAGCCTTTGACTTTTATCATGGCTTTCCACCTAGGCCCTTCCACACAGAACCCAAGGTCAAATCACCATTCGTTCCTATAGAAAAAGATAGTCTGAGTCATCCTCATGACTGACGTCATCGTGTGACTGGCCCAGAGAGGACACTCGTAAGTAACACAAACAGTACCATCTATTCTTCACGGAAAGTGCTTGCATGTGGACAAAAAAGAACCAGAGGAAACATGTGAACCAGAGCGCTCGTAACTATCACTGTGAGGAAGTAGGCACTCCTGTGGGAGTGCAGAGATCACCTGGAGGGGCCTGGAGGACTACCTCCTGGACAGTGAGCTGGGCAAGGCTTCTGGGTGAGGCAAACCTGCAGGCCCTTTGCTGCCTGACAGGCTCTCTAGGTTCTGAGGGACTTTGAGACCATCCCATTCTTTACCACACTCAACGAACCATTTAGAGGTCAAGAGAGGAGCCTAGACCCTACCTATGACTCATCCTCAGAACCGCACAGCCCCTCGGCCTCCCTGCTGGGGGCACACAGCCAGGCTCTGTAAGCCATCTGTAAGCATTACTTCTGACCCTCATCTCAGCAGGTTTTGTATACTGGCACTCAGGCTGTAGAGAGACATTACCTGGTTGCTTTTTTCTGCCTGGTTATTCCTGTTGGAATCCGGAAAGTGGATGTGGCAGCCTGTCTCTTCCATCACCTTCCTGATATTGTTACCGCCTTTGCCGATGACGTGCGAGTGCTCCGTGTGAGAAACATCCATCTTCAAGGTCACCCGGTTGCTCTATGTGGAAATACAGTTACTTTTCGGTGCATGAAAAAGAAAGGAACAGCTCACAAACACTTGGCCCTTAATGCATTTTAGTATTGACACAAAACCATTAGGTGGGAAGCCCTAGAGACTTCTCGGTAGGATAATCATACTCTAACATGTTCAGTTTCTGGGTGGTTTTTTTGTTGTTGTTTTTTGTTTTTTTAGTTTTATATGTATGAGTGTATGGCCTGCATGTGTGTAAGTGCACCCATGTCCTGCAATGCCTGCAGAGGTCAGAAGAGGGCGTTGGATTCCCTTGGAAATGGAGTTACAGATGATTGTGAGCTGCCAGGTGGGTGCTGGGAAGTGAACCCAGGTCCTCTGCAGGAGCATCCGGTGCTCTACACTGCGAGCCACCGCTCCAGCCCTCTACGCTCCTTCATTAAAAAAATCTCACTTTATGACAAATTTGTTGGAAGAGACAGATACACGGTTAATTAACCAAGACAGACTTTTAGAAAATGCTTTTTAAACACATTTGACTGCAATTACAAATAAAGTATTTATATTTTATTCTTTTGAAGACATTAGTCATGAAACATTTATTTTAAATAAAAAAAAAAAAGGCAAAAATTTGAGTGCAAGACTAAAGAGTTACACGTCAGAGGATTGTAGGACTCTGATGATGGAAAACTCAAGACTTGAAATACATCCCCAGACCATGACTATAGAGGCATCCAAAGAGCTGCTGTCAACCTCTTACAGTGACTGCTAAATGCTGCCTGTCCAGCTTTACAAACAGGTCTGCTATTCTCACTGTGGGAGGAAGCGTGGGAAGGGGTTCACAAGGCACAGACCTCTGGAGCCAAAGGCCTTGCGTGGAGTACACAAAGCAGATCAGTTACAGAAAAGCAAAGGGAGTGCCCAAGACCTGGGGGAGAGGTAGCTGATGGCCAAGCTTGAATCCAGGTATTTAAATCTGAGGAATTTCATGTAGAATCAGGGTGGTTGTAAAATCTTTTCTCATGTTCAAGGCCATTACTGAGCATTCTATAATGCTTATTCATAAAAGTCAAGATGTTAAAATATCAGTAGTTGGGGACTGGAGAGATGGCTCAGCAGTTAAGAGCACTGACTGCTCTTGTAGAAGACCCAGTTTCGATACCCAGCACCCACAAGATGGCTAACAACCATCCGGGACTCCATTTCAAGGGGATCCGACACTTTCTCCTGACCTCCAAGGGCAGTGTATGACAAGGGTGCACTTGCAATACACTCACACACATAAATATTTTTTAAAATATCAGCAGTTTGCCGGGCGTGGTAGCACACGCCTTTAATCCCAGCACTCAGGAGGCAGAGGCAGGCGGATCTCTGTGAGTTCAAGGCCAGCCTGGTCTCCATAGTGAATCCAGGACAGCTGGGGTTACAGGGAGACCCTGTCTCAAAAAAAGACGCCCCCCCCAAAAAAAGTCAGCAGTTTAAAAACTTCTGAAATCTTAAAATTGTTAATTGTGTGCAAAATATTTTGATTTTTAAACTTAATTCTTTCAGTTTAACCCCTGAAATACCGGAAAGCATCTCCTTTGGGGACAGAACGATCCTAAAAATTTATAAGGTAAATAATTCTTAGAATTAAAAGAAGAAAAACAACAAAGCACAGAAAAACAGAAATCATTCCAAGGAACGGAGAGTAGTAAACAGGTGTTTGAGAACCACAGCCTGGGAGCTGGAGAGATGGCTCAACAAAGAACACTAGTTTTTCTTACAGAAGACCCGGGTTCGAATCCCAGCACCCACATGGCAGCTAACAACTGTCCGTAACTCCAGTCCCAGGGGATCTGACAGCCTCTCTGACCTCCATGGGCATTGCACGACACAGGTGCACTTACCTACATGCAGGCAATACACGCATACATATAAAATTTTTATTTTAATTTAAAAAAAAAAACAAAAAAGAACCAGAGCCTGGGCTTGAACCACCTCCCCATCCACCATCTCTGAGATTTAATTGCTTAACATCTCTGTGCTGACCACCTACCTATGAGCATAAAACACACTGGTCTCTGGAGATGTGCAGTGCTCAGCAAAGTGGCTGGAAGGGAATGACCACTTCGGGGTATTTAAAGAGTCTGTGCTCATACACCAGTGCACGTTTTCAGGTAGTCAGATTTCCTATTGCTCTTTATAGATGCTTGAGCTGGGAGAGAATGAAGCTGGCCAGGAACAAGATCTGACTCCAGGCCATCACACACACACACACACACACCACAAAAGGGGGGGGCAGAGAGACATAGAGACAGAGAGACACAGAGAGAAGATGCTGCAGCACCCTATGGCTTCAGAAAACCAAATATGCTTATTTCTACAATCTTTGTTGCTACCCTATACTAACCAGGACCAACATACATTTCTGAAAATGGTACACATACACAAACACATATGTGCAGATGCATACACACACACATGCGCGCGTAAAACTTGGCATGAGAGAGCCCATTCACTTTACCCCCATTGCAGAGGCAAGCACACCTCTTCAAACCCCACAGTCTCTTCCTCCTGGTTCTCCCTTCTCCATAGGGTTCTCCTGTAACCGCAGGAAGAGGCCCTGCAGGGCCAGGCTCTGTAGCCCAGACCCCTCCACAGTCACTTACTTTTGTGTCTAGGACAGACATGATCATTTCCACAGTCACTTACTTTTGTGTCTAGGACAGACATGATCATTTCTTTGGCTTCTTTCACGTCTTCCTTCTTTCCAGAAACCTTGATGTGGGGGTCTGCAAGCAATCAGAAACAAAGACTTGGTGAAACTCTCAAAGCACCCCACACTCTGTTTCAAAACTCAAGACCCAATGTACAAAGAGAATCAATAATAAACCTAGCATTTGTTGCTGTGTATGTGTGTTATCACTGTAATAAAAACAAGCAGAGGAAAAGTTACCAAACTTGCGTTTATCTGTGTTTCTTCTTCTGAAATATGGATAAACCAATTAACTTTAATTTTTGCAAATAACTAAATTGTATACTTGTAAATAATTAACTGTTTAAAATAAATAATTGCATGTTATAAAGCATCTATAAATTTGATTTATTAATTGATTTCCTGCTACAATACTGGCCTTATTGTAAAGGTTTAAATATAGTAATTTATTTAATCCAAATCCAGCTCGAAGGTTTCTACAGAAGAAATGAGGCAGAAATGCCTTAGTAGCTTGACCCTGAAAACCACTCAGAGATCTGATCACTATAATCCATATAATCCAATGTCCGCCACATCTGGATCCCCCAATTTAAACTATGATGATTTATTATACAAAACGTCCACACAGGCCAAGATTAATAGAAAAACAAAGTTCATTTGGGAGTATTGGATATTTTTCCAGAGTTCATTTTGAGTGACTAATATCTACTAAGCTTTGTTTATTTAACTGAATTCAAAATAGAAAAGCACTCAGGCACTCAGCAGGTATGTCTGATCATCTCTGCTGCACCAGGCAGTGGTCCAGGGATGGGAGAGCGCATCCGTGGAGACAACACCCCCCAAACACATACAGATATCGAATGTTGTGCAAGGAGGCAAAGCTATTTCAAATAAATTATCTCACATTAAAACATAAATACTATGGAAAGGTGACAGGTGCACAGGATGAAAGGACTGACACCAGGCACAAGGGACGGGGGCTTTGGGCTCACTGAGAAGCGAGTTCTGGGTGGAGGGAAGGGGGAACAGCTGGAAAAGCAGGAATTTTCCAGCGGAGGGAGACTCCATCTTCATCAGAAGTCTCTTCCTAGGGGGTGTGTCTCAATTTCTCCTTTACTGGGTTCCCAAACTGTCAGCAATCTGAGTGTCCTAATACTTATTCAGCAGCTCGGCACAGACCAAGACCAGCTCTCAATGGAGAGTTCAGTGTCCGTCTGCACTAGTGAAACAGTGGAGAGTTCCGTGTCTGTCTGCACTAGTGGTAACAGTAAACAGTTTCATGTTCAATCCCACTCCTGGTAACCATGGAGAGTTCTATGCCCATCCACACTTGCGATAAATCAAAGGATCATTTGTCATGATCATCCCACCACTGAGCATCCCTAGTTTCCTGATGCCCCAGTCCTTTATGTCCAGCGCAGGACAGAGATGGGTCACTGAACGTTTCCTTGGAACCGCCACAACTTCTGTGCCTTCTGCCAGAATCCTTTTATTCTTCTAAAGTACCAGTTCTCCAGGATAAGCACCCACCCTCACCAGGGGGTCAAGACAGGGAGAGTACAGGGAAGTGAAGGGAGGAGAAACCTAAATACTGAGTTCTAAATACTGAGGACCAGGGTGAGAAGTCACAGTTGGCCACACCCAGGCAACTTCTGAATGCAGTGCCAGGATGGGCTGGCCCTTGGGGAGGCATCCTCAGCTGCACCTCACTGAGTAATCCCATCACTCCAACCCCACTGTACCCACACTATCCCCTCGGTGAGCAGCTGTTCCTACCTCAGGCTCTTCTCCTTGTCTTGTTTAAAAACTATTTTATATATTATTTTTACTTTATGTATATGAGGTATTCCCTGCATGTATGTAAGTGCACCCGTGTTGTGTAATGCCCACGGAGTTCAGAAGAGGGTGTCAACTCCCCTGGAACTGGAGTTACGGATGGTTTGATAGCTGCCATGTGAGTGCTGGGAATCAAAACTGGGTCCTCTACAAGAGCAGCCAGTACTCTTAACTGCTGAGTCATCCCTGCAGCCTCCTCCTCATCTTGTCTTTTAAGTCCTCCCCTGACACTTGAAATGGCTTCAGATTGCTCAAAATCTGTCACATATTGTGAGTCCAGGGTCATAAAAGCAGGCACGAGGGATGCCCAGCCACACAAACTGGGAGAGCCTATGGCATCTCCAGATCTGCAGGAATTAACCCTTCCAGCTCACAGTTATACAGAGTGCTATCCACATTCAAAATGGCAGTCAAGTGTCAAGTTCCTGTTGCTGCTTGCACTAACTTTGGCCTGTACTGAGGACCCACTGCCAGTGGGGTGGGGAGAACCCAGGATCCCTCAGAACACGCGCGTGTGTCATACATTTACAGCACTTGCTATACAATCCAGGCTCCGGGATGACCCAGGGTCAGCATCTCATTAGCTTACCCAAAGGATTCTTAAATCAATGACAAAACTGATCAAACCACCAGAATGTCATAATAATCTCTGTATTGGCCCAACACAAATGGGAAATTGATTCTGCAGAATATAAATAAATCTCTCTCTCTCTCTCTCTCTCTCTCTCTCTCTAAATGTTCACTTTTAGACCTGTTACTTTATAGGTTGAATAACCACATTACAATTCATATTATACACCTGCATCTTTAGAGGAACAGGGACTCTCTGATTCAGTTCAGGAACAATATGATTGTCCACCTCTGTCCATCTAGAGAACAAAAACACAGCGGCAAGCACAGCTTTTGAAAGTGAATGAGCACCACCTAGTGGCCAGAAAGTAACTTACCAATGAACACAGCCGTGTGTACATGCTGTCACCAACACCTAACAATCAAACTGTCTCCTAGATGGAGACCGTGCTCTCTGTGGGAAGTGGTCCTTAACAGTTAAGCTTAATAACGAAGAAGAAGGAAAGTAGCACCTGCAGGCAGGCCACTCCCTCCCATGGCTGGTGGCATCGCACTCCGCGAACGAGAAGAAGGAACGTAGCACCTGCAGGCAGGCCACTCCCTCCCATGGCTGGTGGCATCGCACTCCCCTCCTGTCCCATTCCCACCTCCTCTGTGCAGAAGTACACAGGATGTGCGCTCTTACTCAGACTGGGCCTCACTCATTCCGCAATTCCTGAGGTACAGTGTCTGTTACAGTTTACAGTTTAAGCGCCTCCTCTGTGCAGAAGTACACAGGATGTGCACTCTTACTCAGACTGGGCCTCATTCATTCCGCAATTCCTGAGGTACAGTGTCTGTTACAGTTTACAGTTTAAGCTCGTCGGTGACAAGCCACAAAGGATGAGTGTTTCATTCAGAATCTTTCTGAAAATACGTGACAAAAACTTCCAAGTATTAACCACATTAATAAACACAAAATGAACATCAGTCAGATGCATCGGAAAGAGGCCTGGGAACACATGTATCAGTTCCCCTCCTCACAACTACTCTAAGAACACTCCTAGTTTAGGCACGGTGGTTTTGAAATACTTACTGTAAAAACAGCATTCATGACTTTTGAATGTCTCTCAAGTTCTCATGCCTTGCTTGGTTTTAACAGGCAGCGTTGGCCAAGCGGTGCATATTCACTGCCACTGAACAGACTGACAGCTTTCTTGTAGGGAATCGAAGTGCAGGGCAGAGCTACAGAAGAGGGCTCCGCATTTCCAAGGTGACCATCTGCCCTGCCCTTCCCAAAATAACTCTGACTTCACTGATTTGATCCTAGTGTCAGGCCTGTCAGAGGTGCCTTTCAGATCCCTGCACTCATCTGTTCCTGTCTCTCAGATGTGTCCTCTCCTAAGGAAGAGAGGAGCCTGGACGGCAGCCACCCTCACAGTAAAACGCAACTCTGAGGATAACCAGAACGAGCGAGCGGGAGCTACTGTACGCACCACCTAAGAGGACAGGGAACTGGCCGTTTCCTGCAGCTGAACGCGTCCACAGAGCAGTTCCTGTGATTTCCATCTGTAAATTCATCAAGACGAGATAAGCCAATGTTTTGTTGTTGTTGTTTTAAGAACACCAGCTATAGCTGGGTGTGGTGGCGCACACCTTTAATCCCAGCACTCAGGAGGCAGAGGCAGGTGATCTCTGAGATGGAGGCCAGTATGGTCTCCATAGCAGGCTCCAGCCAGCTGGGGCTATGGGGACAGCCTGTCTCAAAAAAAAAGAACACCAGCTAAAAGCATATTTTCAATAAAAGTAAACATTTTAAAGAGCTGAGATGCCTTCCTAAAGCTAAGTGAAGCTTTGCTTTGTTTTGTTTTTAAATTTTATGTGTATGAGTGTATTGCCTGCATGTATGGAAGTGCACCCGTGTTGTGCAATGCCCACGGAGGTCAAAGAGGGCATGAGATTCCCCTGGAACTGGAGTTATAGGCAGTTGTTAGTGGCCATGTGGGTGTTGGGAATCAAACCTGGGTCCTCTGCAAGAGCAGCCAGTGCTCTTAACTGCTGAGTCATCTCTCCAGCCCCTGAGGCTTTGTTTTAAGGTCATCTCTAGGCTCTCATCTCTGCCCTGTGGCTTCCATCCTCACAAGCACTGCCATCCCTGGAGGCCTCAGGCTTTCCCAACCCTCCTTTCTCCTCAGGCCTACAGCTCCTTCCACTTGGCTCCTTTCCACAGAAAACCCCAGAAAACACTTCGTTCAGACACTGTATTCATTACAGGATGGACAGTTGCGTGCTCTTGACACATTAGGCTGTCAATCAGTCTTTCAGTGACAATGGACAGCTACCCTACCGTCTCTGTGATTGAGTACTGCTGAGTGAAAAGTCACTCCCTACCTCAAATTCAGTTGTTCATTCTCTGTCAGAGAGAGACAGGCAGCACCCTGCTAGACTGAACCCACTGTGCACTCACTGTTTATAGGAAAAGATGCCACATTCTGACCTGACAGGTCATAATAACCAAAACGATCCAACCAGCATTAAGTCCATAAAGAAGAGAGCTGCACAAGGCCTTGGTATGTTTTACACACATAACCAAAACGATCCAACCAGCATTAAGTCCATAAAGAAGAGAGCTGCACAGAGAGTTCACTCTACTGGCTTGGAGAGTGACCTCTCTCCATTCCGCCCCCCTTC